TATCTATCTATCTATCTATCTATCTATCTATCTATCTATCTATCTATATAGATATCTATATATAGATAGATAGATAGATAGATAGATAGATAGATAGATATTTATATATAGATCTTTTTGTACACATTTTGCTCAGATTTAAATAAATGTAAATTCTCTTTCTGTAATTTCAGATTTATTTATTTATTTGTTTGTTTAATCAACTCTCCATTTCATGACTCAGCACTCGTCCTGTTCAGGTTTACGCACGCGCACACCGTGTCCTGCAGCGTGGCGCACTAAAAAACATCAGATCTGCTCATGTCTTGTCTTTAGGTTTGTTTCGAAATAAAAAACGAGCCAGATGCCTTGGTGGGGGGTGGGGGGACTCCTCCACGCTCGCTGCGGGACTCTGCGGGACTCTGCGGGTTCCCCTGGGTCGGTGTTGTTTCGTCCTGCAGGACTCGATCCGAGCTGACTTTCTTTGTCCCTCAGATCGATGCATATCGACCCGATCAGCATGAAACTGAAACCTCATGCGAAATTCTGCAAAACTTCTTGCTTTAAATGAAACTTTAGAAAACTTTCTCTTCCTCCTGCTGTTATCCTGCAGCTGCAGTCTGCTGGTTCCCAGTCTGCGCAGGGATTTCTCCCAGTCTGCTGCAGCAACTGTCTCTGCTGCAACAAAATGACTCAAACTCCTCGTTTTTCTTAGTTTTGCTGCAGCTGCATATATTTATTCTTTGAAGAAAACTTGAACTCTTTTTTTAATTACTTGTGGATATTTACATCCTCTGTTGCCTCAAGTCTTAAATTGGCTTCAGGACTTTATTAGTGATTTGCATCTTTGACATTGTTTTGACGACTTTTTAATTTTCTGGGGTACAATTTATGATAAATCACCCTTCAGTGTATAATATGTTTTAAAAGGATCGTGGAGCGTTGAAGAAAGAGAAGCAGTCTCACGATGACACTCAGTCCCGTTTAATGAAAGATTCAAGAGGAGGAATAAAAGAGAGAGAGAGAGGGAGGGAGGGGGAGAAAGTGCTTCAGAAAAACCGCCAGTTCAAGTTTTCATCACGAGTGCAGTTTTTCAAATTCACAACAACAACAACAAGAAAGTCAACAATAAACAAGAAAACCTCGTAAAATTCACAAAAATAAATATTCCGTTTTCTATAAACAGCCAGTGACTTCAAACTCCGTCAAAAATCTGACCTCAAGTATCAAAAAGGTGAAGAAATGGGGAAGGGTGGGGGGCTCGGTTGTTCCCCCTGCAGCCTTTATAACAGGGTTATTCCACTAAACAACTCCGAGGGGGGGGCACAGTTACTGAAGGCAAAAAGCTCAGTTTGTTTTATGGTTTTATTTCAAAATGAACCCTGGTGGGCCCAACATGGCTCATCTGTGGGCCTGATTTGGCCCCCGGGCCGCCACTTGAATAACCTGCTTCAGACATGCGGATTAAAGGTTGAACACCTCCCTCTCCAGCCAACCAGCCCCCACGTTTTGTTTTACTGCGAGCTTGTGCCACATGGAGGTCTGACCCGGTCCGGCCCGGGGCTTCAGCAGCGTCCACCTTAAAGGTCACCGCAAAGTTTCACATGGAAACGTTCATTTATGGAACGGTGCAGTTTCAAAGAGTTCCCTCCCGTGCGCTGAGAAGCAAATCTGAAATGCGGGTACGCGTTCAACGTAAACAAAGAGTCTTTGTGGAAGCTTGAGAGTGACCTACATCAGGCTGGCAGCAGAAAGTTTATTTTTGTCAGATCTTTAAGACTTTGGAACGAGTACCTTTAAACGAGACTTTATTTTTTCATACAATCCTCTGAGTGCTGGTCGAAGGCCTGACATCGTTCACCGGCTCTGGTTTGTTATCTTCTGCACGGATTGGGCCCCCCCTCTCTCTCCGTGCATTTGTGTGTGGTCGACAGAAAAGCTCGTCAATTAGCAAAGCTGCTGCTGAAGGACACGTTGGGTCTGCAGCCCCACTCACACACATCTGTACACAGAAGCAGCTGCAGCGGCCATGTTGATATCAAAAAGCTACATTCAGGACGTGTTTCAGTAGAAACAGTGCGACGGCACGGCTGCTTCTCATTCTTTGTGTTTAAACTGAGGAAATATCATCAGGGCATGAAGGGAGTCAGAACCCTGAGAAGCTGCAGAACAGAACCAAAGTGCAGCGTTTGTGTTTTCAGTGCTTCGTTTCCAGCCAGACGTCTCCTGCAGACTCACTGTTGCTGTTTCACACGAGATTTTTAACTGTTTTACATTTCTCTTCACACCGGCACAAATGTGGCCCAAAGAAACGAGGGTCCAAATCCCGTCTCTTCCTGCAGACCCTCTGAGCCTCTTTGTGTCTTCTTCATGATTGTCTTTACATAAGGCTTGTGTGTTGCGTCTGGCTTTTTATTTTTCTGACACATTAAAAAAAAACAGGGAATAAGACTGAAAATCAAAACACACACCTTAAATTAAAGGTACTCACTGCAAGCTGTGAAATGAAATATTAAAACTGTATTTTCTCTATAATCATAAATTTGGTCACACAAGTTTTCCATATTCTGAAATGCAGGTACGCACTCCATGTAAACAAAGCACTTTTACCTGCTGGATACTCGTTTTTACCACTTTTTTAATTTTTGTGCACATTATCTATCAGCATGAGAAGAAATATTTAGTATGTTTTATCTTTTTGGGGATCAGTCATCATGACACTGCAATGAGTTCCTTTAAAAAAAAAAAAAGATAAATAATAACCAAAACCCACAACCAGCAAAAATAAAGTCCCTTAATAACCTAAAAAACTGGCTGATAAATCAAGTTAAAATGTTCTTACAGTACATTTGAGCACCATCTTGAAAAATAGAAAATAAAATAAAACAGCGCAGGTTTATAAAATATCTTGGCACAGAGTGGGAAACCCTGATTTCATGTGATTTTGTTGTTATTTTAATGATCTTTTTTAATTTTATTTACAAGTTTAACAGTCCCTGCCAGATTAAATGGCCTCATTCTGCTGGTTTCCATGAGAGAAAACACTAAACCCTGTAAACTCCAACAGGTCGAGCAGGAGGAACAAAAGCTGCTGGAGCTGCGTCCTGGAACTCCACAAGGCAAGATGGCGAGCTGCGCTCAACCACTGGGGCTCCTTCCTTTCTTTCTTTCTTTCTTTCTTTCTTTTTTTTTTAACCAGCTCAGTATTTTCTCGTCCTGTGCAGTGGGGGAGGGAGGATCTGGCCGCCTGGCTGCCACCTCCACACGGGGTGGGACGGAGGGGGAGGCCCGGGGCCCCTCAGCGAGCTCAGGGAGTACGCGGGGCACAGATCCCCGTCGCTGTCCACGGCGAGCGACGGCGGAGACGGGAAGTTGGCCATGAGGCTGAAGGGCGCCTTGGCGGGCGACGCCGCGGCGCTGCGTCTGCGGCGGCTCGGGAGATCCTCCGCGCTCGCCTCCCCAGAGCCCGCCGGACGCGAGGAGGAGGAGGAGGAGGACGGGGAGGAAGAGGCAGCCTTGTGGGGTCGCTTTATCCTGGATGTTCGAGGGGTTTTGTTCCTCTGCCCATGAGGCCTGCAGGGTTTTCTGCTCGGCTCCCCCTCCTCTGCGCACGGCGCGTCCTGACTGCATTCCTGAGGGCAGCAGGGGGACCTGGGGGCCACATCGGGACTTTTATCTCCTTTACATTTGACCACAGCGGCCAGGCTCTGGTATTCATATTCATCCCAGCTCTCCTCCACTTTAACTTTCACATTGTGGAGGTTGAAGGGGGGCGTCCTGCCTGCGCCGCCGCCGCCATCCGGATGGGGGGCCGCGGTCTCGGGGGCTTCATCCGGCTCGGTTTTGATTCTTTTCGGCGGGGTGCTCAGCCTCGGGCAGGTGCCTCTCGTCTCCTTTTTGTCTGCGCATTTCTGGAGCTTACCGGAGTCAAACTGTGCGCCAAGTCCCGAGAGGCACTTGGTAGGAAGTCCCGGGGTCCTGCGTGAGAAGTGGGAGGCCTTAACCAGGTCTGGTGAATAAGAAACCGGGTCTTCCTGAGTCCGCTCCGGAACGGCCTCCTGCAGCTCCTCTGATGGAGGTTCAGTAAAAATGGCAGCAGAGGAAGTGAAGCTGCTCTCACTGCGCAAAAAATCACTATTTGGATATTTTTCGTGCCCGCTGTCTCCTGGTGGCGCATCCCGACTCAGAGGTTCTTGTTGGTTCTTGTACTGAAAGGTGGGCTGCAGGACCAAAGGTGCTTTACCGGTACTGAGACCCACACGCGCCCGTCTGAACCGGATGCTCTGGACCGAAACCCGGCTGGAAACTGAGCTGGAGTCGGACTGAGAGGAGCAGCTCTCCTCCTCCTCCTCCTCGGAGCTGACCTCTGAACTTTCTGTGTCATCTTCATCCTCCTCCTCCTCCTCAGAGCCGCTGCTGCTGGTGGAGAACCCGGAGCCGAAGTCCGAGTCGGGCCAGTCCGAGTGTGTGCTGGACTCGGTGTCGCTGCTGAAGCCTTCTGGGAACTGGTGGTGGTGGTGATGGTGGTGGTGGTGATGGTGGTGGTGATGATGGTGGGGTCTGGGGTCCAGGTACAGGTCCGGGCTGAGGTGGAACGCGGTTTTGGGCTGGAGGAAGAGCACGGGTTGTGCATGCAGATGATGGTGCGCGTGTCTGCTCCTGGCTGCGCCCTCGCGACTCTTCCTTTTGTGAAGCAGGTCGGAGTGAAACAGCAGCGGCTGCCGGAGGAACGCGCGCCTTTGGTTCCAAGTGACGCAGTTCCCTGCTCTCTTCTCGGTTTCGTAGTTTTTAAAGAGTCTGTGGCCGGACTTGGCCGTGGCGCGTGGGTTCCGCCCGCGCGCTTTGTGGTAAAATTGAGGTAGTTTGGAGTCGGTGAGGCGAGGAGGCAGCTCTGTCCTCGAGACGCCGCGCAAACTGAACCAAAGTTTCTCCTTCCACAGTTCCTCCTCCTCCTCTTCCTCCTTCTTCTCCTCGTCCTTCCTCCGGGTGGACCTCAGCACGCGCTCCGTCTTGCAGGACACGTACAGCGCCTCCACGTCCTCCCGCGAGATGAGCGTGCATTTGGCGGCGTGGAAGGCGATGGAGTTGATCGCCTTGAGCTTGCGCAGCTCCTCCAGGTCGCACTGGTGCTTCTTGACCCTCAGGTGGTCCATGCGCTTGTGCACCGTGGTCCGGGGGATGTTCTTCAGCAGGTCGGTGAAGACCTGGGACAGGGCGAACATCTGCTTGCCTTTGATGAGCAGGTACCCGAGCCTCACGCCCTGCATCTCCTCGAAGCCACACTCCAGGTCTCCCATAGTCCCTCTGTGGATTCTTCTTCTTTTACCAGTAAAATGGCACAGCGGTGCGCGCGAGCTCAAGGCATCCTGCCGGCACCTTTAATCCATCCCGTGTGCTGCTGCGTCACGAAAAGGCAAAGTTCGGCAGGTTAACGGACCCGCTTCTCGCCGCGCGCCCCGGTCCGGCATGCATGGTGGCGCGCGGAGGTTCTGGATGGAGGAGCCGGGGCTGCTGCTACCTGCCTCTGCCGGCTCCACTCCCCTCTCTGCTCGGCAGCAGGACAGAGGGGTAGGTGTAACACCGCTGCCTCAGCCGGAGGGATAAAATAGCGAGAAAGAGGGGAGGGAGGAAGAGGGGGGAGGGGGGGAGGAGGGAGGGAGGGAAGAGAATCGGAGGAATTGGAGCTAAAAAAGCAGCTGGCTGCTCTGCTGAGCTCCGCGGATTAAAAAAAAATGAGAAGAGGAGGTGGGCTGGTCTGGAGACACCTTCATCAATTAATGCTGCCGGAGCCGACGCTCATTGGACGCTGCTGACAGGTGATGCAATAAAAAAAATGGATCTCTCCCTCCCCCGCTCTACTCCCACACCCTCCCCATCACCGTATTTTACCGTTCTCCGCCTTTTGAGCAAAATAAAAGCTGAAAATTCAGCCCTGGTGAGAAATTTCAGCTCCGTCAGAATAAAATGTGTCACTTTCTTTAACCTTGTGGGCTGCTTTACATTCTGAGGCTGACTGTCAGACCTGGACTGACCCACGTCAGACCTGGACTGACCCACGTCAGACCTGGACTGACCCACTTATGAGGCGTTAAAGCGGCGCCTTAAAAAACAGTTCTGATCTGCGTCAAATGGCGCAGTTTGAAATAATTTGCTTTTTCTTGACGTGCCATCTGAAATGCGGGTCTGCACTCAGTGTAATTAAAGTGACTGGATCCTCTGAAAACAGGAGGAAGCTGCGAGGAAGATGATGATGCTGAGGTGGAAATAAAACATAAATCCGCTGCTTCACACAAACGTTGGACATGATTTCAGTGTTGATATCACAATTCTTTCAAATCAATTAGAAAATATTTTAAATAAATAAATAAAAATAAATAAAAATAGTAATGATGATGTGCAGGGTCTTGTGTGTTATTTGCACAAGCAGCAGTAAATATAAAGTCAGTGTTGCTTTTCCCCACATTTATTTTGATAAAAAGGCGACATTCCATAAAATAAATCAGAACTGCTCCAAAAATATTTACGCAACACGTAAATTATTGGGACTATTTCTAAATTGTTGCAGTTAATGCGTCAGGAATTAAGACAAGATGTGACGCAATTAAAAATAAACAGCGGGGTCAGTGAACCCACCACACACACACACACACACACACACACACCATTGGTGGAATCGATTCCAATGGTGATATTTGGCGCACGTTTTGTCTTTGCGCATGAGCTCGCTGCGTCCAAACCCTGAACGTGGAGTCTGCACGGAAACGCGTAACCTGAAACGCACACACCTCATCCATCTCCCCACAGCCGACAGTCTCGCGCACAGAGGCTTTTTTTTTTTAAGAAGAGGGAATGTAGCTGAAGGCACCACCCGCTGCGCCCTCCACACACCACCACGTGGTTGGTTAATAGTTTTTAATAGTTTAAGTCCTGCGTTAAAATGGTTGGGTCGTTAAACCCAAAAGGCTTTTTCTCTTTTTCTCTTTCTTTCTCTTGTTGTCCAATAAACTCGCGAGTCCCGCGTGGCCTCTTCCACACAAACTCCAGACTGGGCATGCTCATCTCCAGTGAACTTCCAGACTCCATGTTCGGTGGCTCATCAATCTAAATGTTTTCTCTAAAAATAAAGACATATTTTTTATTGAAACATACATTTTAGTATAAGATCACGCACCGCCTCGTGCACCGTGTTGGATGCGTAACAAGAAATGTAGGTTTTTACGCAGCGCAAAAGTTGCGCCTGAATATTAGGTGTTGGTCTCACTGTGTGTGCGTGCGTGTGTGTTCTGAACCGTGTCATCAGGACTCATTGCAGCTCAGCTCGCGCTCATTCGGACCGTTTTCCTCACGCTTTACTCTTTTACGCGCAGAATCCGCAGAAGGCAATACATAAATAAAAGTCGCTTTTCTCGTGCACATGCATGACAGCAGAAACCCACCGGGTTTAAACGTGCACGAGGTGACGTTGGAGTAAGGTCAGACCCTGAGGGGGCGTGCAGGTTTGTTTCATTTTAGTAACTTTCAGGAGAAGCCCTTTTGGTTTTATTCCTCTGATGGTTCCCAACATTCACTTGGGCTGAGATGCCATTAAACCCATCCCTCCAGTTTAGTTTTTAAAAATCCCAGTCATCTTCCCTCGTGTTTGTTACTTGTTGCGTTTCCAGCTCGCAAAACTGATTCACGACTTTTATTGTGAAAATCACATTAAAGCAGCGTCAGCGTGAAATTAAAACGTTTTACTGCTGCCGTTACTTTTACAAATAATAATTACACTCGTAACGAATCAGAACCAACTTCACCCCAAAGGGAAGTCTCTTGTTCCAACCAAGAACAACACGGCCCAAAATAACGCGCTGAACAGAGGAGTTACAAATAAACTGACACAAATGAGACCAAAACATAAAAATAAATGATGTAAATAAAGTAAAATAAGTTGTGTACGGGAGCCTAATTAACATGGATTAATAAATGCCACGAGATTAATAATGATGTCCCTTAAAGATTGAAATCAAAATAAAAGTCAATATATAACACGTCAAAATAAACAGAATATAATAAATCACTTGGCTTCATTCAGGGGCTTCTCCTCCACCTCTCCCCCTGGAATCGGGCCGAACCAGAGGGAGGAACCCGAAGGAGAGCGCCTCCAGCCCGGCGGGCTTCATGCCGGCAGCCCGCTGAAAGCAGCAGGAACATGGTCCTGGTGCTGGACCGGTCCGGTCCGGTCTGTGGGTAAAGGGGAGTACCGACAAAAATGTGGGATGTTAGGAGTTCTGGTGTCACTGAAACAAAAAGTCAAATGTGTGTTTTTTCTTCCAAACATCACATAAGTTATAGAAATGAAACCGCATTCCTTGAAGAAATGCATATCACCCGCAGCCGCCAAAAATATTTGCTCAAATCTTTGCGTAATGGCCACTTCTGATCAGCTGTGGCGGCCATCTTGAACAGGTTTGATCAAAAAAAAAAAGTCAATCACCTTTAGATGTGCGTCCACTGATCATTTCCTGAAAGTTTCATCAAAATCCACCCAGTGGTTCATGAGATATTTTGCTAACAGACAAACCACGTTCTAATGTTTTAAGTGAATACATTGTCCAGGGATTAGTGCTTGGAGTATGTGTTGGGGGTAACTCTCAGCTACAACTACCCAATTTGATCACATTGTGTAAAACTGATGGAGCTGCAGATCAGCTGGCTGTGGCGGCCATTTTGAACTCATAGAACAAGCAGCTGTAGATGCTCCCCCAGGGATTATTTCCTGAAAGTTTTATTGAAAGTTGCCCCTGGTTCAAGAGATATTTTGCTAACAGACACACATCAAAAGTATCCTCTTGTTTTTGTCTGCGATAAATTTATCAATCTACCTGTAAGTTGTTTTAATGAATTAAAAACATGTTTTGTCTAATTAATTTTTTTATGTACTTCCCCCCCCATTTTCAGTAGGGTATACAGAGGATAGTGTCTGATTGTGGTAATGAGGACACACACGTGCGCTGAACCCTCGTGCATTTGTTGAACTCACATTGATTGAAGCTAAAATTCTCGTCACTGTTTAAAAACAACAATTTGAAGTTTTAAATCAGAATAAAAGTGCACGCTCCTCATCACAAACGGAAGCTGCTCCTGGTCAGTTTTCTTGCAGCGTTTAGACTTGTCCCAATCCCCCCCCCAGTCCATTTAAAGCCCTCATCAAAGTGGCTCTCCTCCTGCAGCTCATTTGTCTCTGCATTCAGTTTTATGGACACACTCGGGCGGTCAGAGTCTGCCACTTGTAGGAGCAAAGACTTTTTATGGCACAAACCCACCGCCCCACGCCAAAACAATGAGTTCCTCTCGGCCCCCGCCACCACCAGGAGAATTTTACTTTGCAATCCGAGCCTGAAGTATGTGGACAGTGGTGGGGGGAGGGCTCCCTTCACCTTTCACCCCGCCGTGTTGGGACTGTTTGTGTTTTATTTTCCCCTCTCGGCCCTCTGCGACGAAGCTAAACAGGGATTAAACTGAATGTGGTGGACACGAACACACATCCCTGACTTTAGCTTTCTGTTTGTGAAAGGAACTAAACTTGGAGTCCTCCCATTGAGTCATGGTGCAGCTAAACCTGAAATTATTAAAAAAAAGAAACGAGAGTTCATTAAAAGGCTGCAGCCATTTCAGGTACAAACTTAAAAACCGTTTATGTTTTAGATAAATACACTTCATGTTGTAAATAATGAAACTGTGCAGTTACAAATAGATTGACATGAAATGCAGGTACGCACTCGCTGTAAACAAAGCCTTTTTATTTGCTACATTTCCCAACAGATTTGATAAACACGTTCCAAAACGCCAAAGTTCCCGAGTGGACGTCGCTATTGTTCATTTGGTCACAAATTTTGTTTCCAATGTTTTAATTTAAAGACAAAAAAAAATTGTTCTGATTAATTTTTTACGTTTTGATTTTTTTTCCTTCATGACCAGTAAGAAATATATTTATATTTTTAATATATTTATATTGTTATAATCACAAATTTTAGCTCACCCCAAGAACTAAACCACAACCGCAGTTAATTAATTAACTGTTTTAATTGTAAACATTTCTTTTATTTACTTTATAAAATATTCTGTCTCACAGAATATGGAAAATGGAAGCAAACAGCTCAAAGATAATTAAAAATAAAAACCGTCTGGCCTTAAAACACCTTATGATGTTTTAAGTAAATGGTGCAGTTTGGTTTAAATTTTATTTTGTTTGTTCAAAATGAACTGAAAGTCAATGGTAGAATTAAAACAACAGAAGAGTTTTAGTTTTTAGATTTTGAACTTTGGCACGATCAGCTGCTGCCCAACAAAACAAAAACACAAACAACAACAAAGTCATCCCTTTAGCTGCAACACAAACACCAGACTGGTTGTTTCTACGTAAGTCCAGTGGATGGTAATCAGAAAACGATGATTGTTTTTGCAGCAATAGTTCAGTTTCTCCACATCTCTGAAGGTAAAATCAACAAAACGCACCAAAAAGATGTCTGCAAACCCAAAAAGCACAGGATAACCTTGACTTTGTACGTTATGAGCAGCAGTTTCTAAAACATCGAGCCTATTTCTGAACACAACTAAACGCTGCTGCTGTGGGTTCGCAGAGTCAGTTTGCACAGCAGACATGAAGCTCTGAAGGTTTGGGGATAAACGGCACACACTCCAACAGTCAGTGGAGGCAAACAGCACCTGATGTTCCACTGAAAAGACTCAACACGACACAATATTTGTACCGACTCTGACTAACTCTGAAGCCAGTTATAAAATTATTCTGCATTCTCAGTAGCTATGTGGGGCCTTCCAGCGCGGCCCCCACCTTTTGCCTCCCTTTGTTCTCTTCAGCTCTAATAGGTTTTCCCTGCCTCACACAATTCACTTTTTTCCTCTCCCCCCCTTTTAGTGCAGGGTCCAGTGTCGACTGGAGCATCTGAGCAATTTGAAATTAAAGCAAACAATGGGCAGGCACTCCCAGGGACCTCTCTCTCGCCGTATTACACGGAGGACGCTCGTGCGCTCTTGCACATTACTGGCAAGTCATTACGTTTCTCTGGAAACGGAGAGCACGCTCAGAGGAGCTGGTGATGCAAGCAGCAGCTGAGTGCTTGGAATGGCGTGTGCGTGTTCATGTGCACGTGTGTTCTGCAGCATCCTTGGTAACAGAACTGTCAAAACAAAACTGGCATGCGGATGTGCAGCCTCTTACCAACATTCCTTTGTTTTATTTTTATTCTTTAAAAAGTATTCCTTTGTGGAGGATTTGCTCTAAAGTCACAAAAACATGCACATTTTTTTATGTTGAGATCATTATAATTACAGATGAAATGTTTTAAACCTTTTATTGCCCACAATCCAGAAACAAATTACCCCAAAAACATACTCATTGCAATGTCATATGGACATGATTTAAAAAAAAAATCACATTGATGGTTAATGTGTCTTTGTATAAAAATATTGTGAACATTTTATTTTGTACATTTGCCGACTACAAAGTTTCTTACAGCCAAAGAAATAGGTCAACAATGGCGGCCATTTTGTGATAACTGAAACTGACTGTTTTGATGTGCTTGGATTAAATAACTGAGGTATGGAGATGAAAATGCTTTCTTTACATGGAGTGCAGACCCGCACTTCAGAATTGTGTCATTATATCTGGAAAACTACTGGAGTAAACACTGTCAAACTTCACCGTTTGATATATTTCAGTATAACCCGTTGTATGTGTGATTTCCTAATTCTTGATTAAATCCTTGCCACCTAGGCTCGCTTAAATATGCATGAAAACTATAACATTTTCATTTTGGAAACTGATTATAAAGTGTACAGAAAACTGCAGTTGTTGGCATAAAGTGTTAATTAGGACAGCCCAAACGCATTTGAAGAAAAAAAAATCTAATGTGTAAAGTTAAAACTGCTCATTTTGACCTAAACTGGCACTGACAAGATTGATAAGTGCCCCGAGACAACTTTGTTGTGAACGGGCGCTATATAAATAAACTGAATTGAATTATTTATGGTTGAATATAGGCCAAACAGTAACGATTTAGCAGATGTTTTGCAAAACCCGTGCACGTTTGAATGTCAAAATGAGTCTTTGACCACTTTGCTTGATCCCTGATATGGGCAACTTGACAGGTGTCTTGATTTATTTAGCTTCTTTTCTATGTTGGTGGATTCAGCCAAGTGCTTTGTTTACACTGAGCGAGAACCTGCATTTCAATTTGCATATCTGGAAATAAAACAAGTAAAGTTTTTCAAACTCTACCATTTGTTATTGTTCGGAATAGCATTTTAATGTTGTATTTCATGCTATGTAATGAGTGTCTTAAACTGTTGTGTGGTATACTTCAAAAAAACTTTAATTTATTGAGCCACATATTTGTAAAAATTTAAAACCTTAGTTCCTTTCTAGCCTTAAAATAAATTATTGCTGTGAAAAATTACCAGATTATCACCCTGACTTGATGACTGCAGTGAAATTTGCTGAGTGATGCTTTTTTTTTTTTGCTTCAAACTTTGCTGCTGCCATGTGAGACCAACCGTTACCGGTTCAATCACGTGACGCCATACGTCACATTGCGTCATGACGTATTTCCTGTTCTCTACTAAGTTCCCCCTCTGCTTATCACCGCGCTGTGACGGCGATGTTTTGGTGAGGGGGGGAAACTACTGCGTCCTAAACGGATGTAAACACGTTTAAAAACATGTCATTTCGATCGAGTGGGACCTAGGGGCTGCGTTGCCGGGAAACGACGGACGTCTCCGACGAGGGCCTCTCGGAGCAGCTCGTTTTATTCCCCCGCATGTCCGTCGCTTTCTTCGTAGATGGTCTCCGGCGAGCGTTGTTCGACTGCACGGCTCTCGACGAGTAACATGAAGGAGATGATCGGAGGGTGCTGCGTGTGCTCGGACGAACGAGGCTGGGCGGAGAACCCGCTGGTGTACTGCGACGGACACGGCTGCAACGTCGCCGTGCATCAAGGTAAGCTGGGACGTTAGCTAAGCTAGCAACTAGCGTTTAGCTTCGATGCTAGTTAGCATCGCTGGAAGGTTATGAAGCCTCCTCCTCCTCCTGCTGCTCCTGTTTTTTCACCGAGCTGAGGTCACGCTGCTGGCTGCTAATGCTCTGAGCCTGCATGTAGATGATAGTTGACAGCGGAAGTATAAACACGGTTCTGGGTCCGAGCTGTGCCATTGCTATGTTGTCAGAAGCTGCCATTTAGAATAAGGGACTCTGCTCTCGACGAGCTGTGTTCACTTCAAATTGGAGCGATGACCTTGCTATAGGTGTGCTTTTCGAAAGTAGTCCACATTTTATCAATAATAACATGAAAAACAAACCTGTCTGTGTTAGGACTATATGTGTTTTACTGCAGCTGTGCTCAGCAAAGATGGCTCACATGATTATGAAGTTCTCTGTTTACATTTGTAAGTGCTAGCCATGTGTTCATTTGGTAAGCTTAGGCTGAGCAAATATTGTAGTAGCTGTCCCTAGGTCTGATCTTATCAAGGTGAATATAAAGTAGTTTTGCTGCAGTTGTTTAGTCTGACTGGACAACTGTTCTTTAATTTAGTCAAATGCATAAACTTCTTTGTTTTTTGTGATGTTCAGCAAATTGAGTACAACCCCAAAACAGAAAAATTTAAATGTGTTAGGTGTAAATAGAAGATGATTACAGTGATTTGCAAATATCATAAACCCATATTTTATTCAGTGTGGGACAACGTTAACATATTAAATGCTGAAATTAAGAAATTTTGTGAAAACAATAAAAGGCCAATTTAGAAATTCGTAGCAGCAACGCATCTCAAAATGTTGTTCCAGGGCCAATTTTCCACCGTGAAGCTTTGGAGAGGGAAATGTTTTCATTTGCTTAATGGGAGCATATGATGTTCAAATACCTGTATATAGTTTTCTGCGTTTATTTCTTTCCATATTTGTAGGCAGTTTGTTGATCCCTCTCCCCTTTAGTATGGCCCTTATAATGTGGTATTTGTGTTTTTGTTTTTTTTAAGAATTTTAAATTTAGTCTGATCACAACAGTATTCCATTTTGCTTGGTAGTTTTGTCTCGTATAAAAAGGCAGCATTTCTGGACATTGTTCACATATACGCTATGTGGCTTTTTTTTTGTTGTTTGTTTGTTTTTTGAATGTCCAGAGGACCAGATTTAACATTTTTAGATTTATGGCAGATGTTTTCTACACAGTTTCACTGTAAAAGTATCAGTGCGGTCTTTAATTAGGTGATTATAATGATGCTTAAATTGTTGTAAGTTTGACACAGTACAAGTTGCCATTATCTGACAACCGTACATACTTGTGGCTAGGAATGTGCGATATGGCATAAAATTCATATCACGATATGTATTGTGAAGGGTGGCGATAACGATGTATATCGCAATGTGTTTTTGGTATAAAACTTAATAGGAATTCTAAAAAGCATAAGATGTCCTTTTGCCATCATATATTTTGAATAAAAAAAAATTCCACTACTAGGTCCAGAGTTTTTAAATGATAAACAAATCAAGTATTAGGCTTCTTTCTTGTAGTGCAAAACAGTGCAAAAGATCAAATGTAGTTTTAGCCATATGTTTTAAACAAAAGAATATGTTGTTAACAGTTTCTAGTCTTCTCACTTGAGAAATGAACAGAGCAGCAACTGAAAACACTTCACCCTCCAAACCTCTAGTGGGCGACGCCTTCAGCTTTAATGGAGAGCTGACACAAAATGAGTCTTTGGCTTTGACCAGAGGGTCTCGCAGTAAAATCACACAACACAGCGTTCTTTTACAGATCAGAGAGCAGGTTTCTCTAAAGCTGACCAACGCTTACTTTAACTTTCGACGAGAAAAAAACAACAACTTTCGACGGAACACAGCGTTTTGCGCATGCGTCCGAATACGGCAACACTACGGCAAGCTGGCCGTAGCTAGCTTGTAGCTTCGCTTCTTAGCTCTGGAAGAAAAGACTTTAACGCCACTTGTGCACAGTTTTCAACTCCAAAAAAGTTACGATTAAATCTGACAGCTCTGATTTTACACTTGAACACCACTTACGCAGTTTTCAGCTAAAAAAAAGTAACGATTAAACTGAAAACTTTGATTGTATCGTAGGCTAAATTTCTATCGTTTCTACCGTGTACCGTTTATATCGCGCATTCCTACTTGTGGCCATAAAATATACGCTAACATTTTGGAGATTTATCACAATATTTGATATATATAT